CAAACTCATGTCTCTAAAATTCACATGTAGTGGAGCAGCCAATATATCCCTCGAGAACATATGTCCTCGAGCACGCCTTTCAGGTCGACCATCAATCTTAGCTTGCATCTGCCTCACCTGCTCCGCGAGTCTCTCCACCTCCCGATCTCACAGGGCTCCATCTCCCCCATAGCTAGACACGTCCTCATCCACCATCGTTGGTCCGGCAGCCACTCGCGAAAGGCTTTGAGTGACTTGCTGAACTGCTTGTGCCGCCGCGTTCGCCACCATCTGCTGCATCTCCTGCCTGGTCATCACCACCTGCTGGCCAGGGCGTGGCTCCTCCACCGGTGGTGGCACTGCTCTCTGTACCACCGCTCCTCGTTATTGTGTCCCGGCTAGATCTGGTTGCAACGGCACTGGGATCGCCGCTCCTTGAGCCGTGCGGGTCTTCTGGGCCCGGCTTGAGCCCACGTCCACCTCTGGTTGCACCGGCGTAGCTCCGACACCTTGGGGAACGGGCGTCGGAGTCACCAGTGTATGCGAGGGTCCAGAGAAGCCCACGGGAGGGCCCTCTCCAAACGGCCTCGTCATCGTCCATGCGTCGTCGAACGATGCTTGCAAATCTCTCCTAGGAATTCCGTCCGCCATAGCCACCGAGCTTCAAAATTCTCAACACACCACTTTTCGAACGAAAGTCCCACAGATGGCACCAAATGGTAACGCAAAACACTTCGACCGGCTTGAAATCGGTTTGCCTTCCTCTTCCTCGCCGATAGAACGCCGCGCACCTGCACAGAACTCTCACACCGGAGGGGTTTCCGGTGAAGAGCCTCCGATGCTTAAGTCAGTATGTGTTTGTTCAATTTTCCAAAAGTAAAGAATGGATAAATCGTAGGTTACAAGAAAAGACCCACTCCCATATATATAGGAGTGAGATACCTGCCCTAGGAACTGCCCGACTTTTGATGAGCTGTCCTGCCCGTACTGCCTGTCCGTACACACATAGTGTGCGTGTGTCAGAGATGTCAGGGGTTGTTTTCGCCACTATCACTCTGCACCAATATATTCTCGCCACGTGTCCCTCTGAGTTGAGGGAGATTGTTCTTCTGTGCAGGCCGTTGGGATCTTCTGACGCCATCCACGCGCCTTCTCGCGTTCAAGCCACGCTCTAGACTGCTCTTCACCTGTTGAGTGCTCGATCTCCTCCTTTTTGGTCGATCCTCGACCAGTTCTGCTATTCTGCTCGATCTCCTCCCTTTTGGTCGATCCTCGACCAGTTCTGCTATTCTGCTCGATCTCCTCTCTTTTGGTCGATCCTCGACCAGTTCTGCTATTCTGCTCGATCTCCTCCCTTTTGGTCGATCATCCTTCTACCAATTCGGTTTTCTCCACTTCGAGGTTGCTCGACCGATGATGCAAACCGGTCTATTCCTCAGCTATATAATATCCCATATCAGTCATTATATTTGAAAATGTTATGACTAACTAATTTGGTTAAATAGTTATTTTTATATGGATGATTGAATTATAAATATGAGAATTATACCAAAATTAAGATGTATTTTGATATTGAAGCAAATAATTTTATATTTTAATAGACATGTGTCATAGATCTATGCTCTTGCAATTTTCTTAGCATCTCTGATGTTTCAAGTTTATATTTTATTTACTTAATTTAGTCAATCTATATAAAAAGTCCATAGTTATATAAAATTATTTTTCGAACAAAAGGCATTAAAATTTAAAAATAATTTAAACTAAATTTATATAATTTTTATATAGACACTAAGAAAATAGAATTAGCAAAATTACTATTTACTCCAAATAAATCTTAAGTATGTAACATGGTGATTTTTTATTCGACTCTCATGGGTAAATACAATGAAAAGATAATATCAATTGCGATAAAATAATTATATTTCGCTTAATAATTATAATAAAAAAATAAAAATAAGTCAAGTTTAATAATTAATTTTTATTAAATAAAAAATTATCCAACATAAGATACCACATGTTATCCGACATTAGTTTGAAAACCATTATGTAGAAAATAAATATAAATACGAAAAAAAGATAAAAAAAAAAACTATTTCAAACACCGAATACAGACAAAAAAATGAAAAATTAATGGGTCGTCTATTAAACCATATGTGTATCATTGCTCAAAAGAAAAATATAATCTTATAAATTATAATGTAGAATTAATTAATAACTTATAAAATAATATAAGTTAATTAATAACCTATAAAATAATATAAGTTAAATATGAAATTATTATTTTGAAAATATAATAAAATATTATTTAATAATATATCGGTTTAATTATTGTGTTACAATTTGTGCGTTGTACGGATAGATAAGCTAATAGTAATTAAAAGTTTCACAAGCCTTTTACACTTTAGTAGTTTATTTTTCAACCGCATGTGTTTCTGTTGGCACAAAATCAGTTGAACCTTTGAAATAATATCGGTTTATTAATTTCTTTTATAATATAAGTACTGACGATAATTGTTTTTTTAGTTCATCTAATCCATAAATATTTCATAAAAGTTATAATATTATTGATTATTATAATACCGGTTTACTAGTTTTTTTTATAAATATAAGTGCTGACAATAACTGTTTTTTAAGTTCATCTAATCCATAAATATTTCCTAAAAGTTATAATATTATTATTATTATTCCCCAAATCTACTAAACCCGTTTTCAATATATCATACTACTTGGGTTAATATAATCATGTAATATAAAATATTATTCTCTTATAATTTGTATCTTAAATATTTATTAAATAAATAACATAATATAATTTAACTAAAATTGCCTTAATGAGAAAATTAATCAATATAAGTTAGGTTGTTTTTATTTTTTTGAGATTTAAACTGTGGTAATATAAGTTCACATCCAAATCTAAATCTAAAATTAATAAAGAACTTGCAACCATTAACTAAAAAAATATTGACTAAACTAAAAAATGAAAAAAAAAAAATACCCAAGCAATAAAATGAAAACAAAACGTACATACATGATTTGTAACTAAACCATTAAAATCAAAATTACTTCTCATTAAATGACTTTTAACAAAATGACAATGAAGCCATTAAAAAATCAAGAGAGTAAGAGTAATTTGGTTATTATAAAATATTATTCTCTTATAATTTGTATCTTAAATATTTATTAAATAAATAACATAATAATTTAACTAAAATTGCCTTAATGAGAAAATTAATCAATATAAGTTAGATTTTTTTTTATTTTTTTGAGATTTAAAAAATTATCTTTAGAATTTGAAAAAAAAAATATATAAACAAGTAAACTGTGGTAATATAAGTTCACATCCAAATCTAAATCTAAAATTAATAAAAGAACTTGCAACCATTAACCAAAAAAATATTGACTAAACTAAAAAATGAAAAAAAAAATATCCAAACAATAAAATGAAAACAAAACGTACATACATGATTTGTAACTAAGTCATTAAAATCAAAATTACTCTGTCTCATTAAATGACTTTTAACAAAATGACAATTAAGCCATTAAAAAATCAAGAGAGTAAGAGTAATTTGGTCTGTTAAAGATAGTTGTAGATAAAGATAGTTGTAGATAGTAGAAGAATAACATGTAAAATACTTTTTTGCCATTACAAAGCATTAACAAATTATGATTGATAGAAGGTATTTTAGTGAACACATATTTTTACAAAAACATTCATCCTTTTAAGTTAGTAGAGATAGAGATGAATGTGTAAGGATGTGAGTGTGTGTTTAAATGGAGAGAGAATTAGTGAAAATATGATATGGATGAGCGAGAATGTAACTTTTTGATTGAATGAATGAAAAAAAAAAAAAAAAATTAAACCAATGTGGATGCCCTAACAACGCACCCAATGACATCAACTTTGAATATTCTCAAGTAAACAAGTTTGCTTGGCCAATGACCTCTTGGCCTAGTGGTAAGAGTGAGGCACCCTTGACATGAGGTCAAGGGTTCGAGCCTCCTGGAGCGCAATGGTGGAACAATTAATACTGAGGACAAGAAGCGGCAGTGTGGGAGGCTGAAACTCGGTGGGAACCAGCGACTGAATAGGTGGGGCCAACTTGGAGCTGGGAGGGCCAGCGAGCGATCACTTGGGGATCGACTCCTTGTGCGCGGTAGTTGAGGGTATTAAGTACCTATTAAGTACCTGGGAGTCATTGTGTGGCTACCGCGGTTTAATTGGAGGCAGTGTCTGAGGGGCCGGAGTTGTTTGGTATTAAGTACCTGGGAGCCATTGTGTGGCTACCGCGGTTTAATTGGAGGCAGTGTCTAAGGGATCGGAGCTGTTTCCTCGAGAACTAGTCAGACGCAAGCCTAAAACCTCGGTATCAAACAAAAAAAAAAAGTAAACAAGTTTGCTTACACTTAAAACCAATACTAAAATTGAAACTAAATTTGACATGGCTCTATTACCTACAATATAACACCACACTACCTTTTTAAATTTCCATTTTCTTCTGTAACTAAATTTCCACGAAAACAATATTATATTGAACTTAAAAAAAAGTACATTAGCAGTTCTGATAAAGCCACATATATTAGAGCATCCACAATGCTTTGGGTCTATTTTTGTATGTGTGACATATAATTGGATTTGAGTTTTAAATGACATGGACAAACCTAAGTAAAAAAACTCAAAAACTTTGCAATGCAAAAATAAAAAGACTAGGTCTATTATACATGTCAACCAATAGAAATGCTCTAATATATTTTATTTATTAAAAAAAAAAAAATTAAGAACAAATGATGAGTGTTTGGGTTTGTACTTGGGTCCAAAATAAACGCAAGTGTGGACTTGGCCTCTTTTCTTCATTGCCACATAAACAAGACCATGTCTACTTTTAATTGCATTGGGAAGTATTTTTTTATAGACTAAGTCTATATTCCATGTGGCATGTGATTTTTTTGTTAAAAGACCCAAAGCATTGTGGATGCTCTTAATTACATAAAAAAACGAAAGAAGAAAGAAACGCACTTGCCCCTATCTTTTTACCCTATCTTTTGTTTCTGCTAACGCTCCTTTCCCCAACTCTGTCCCTGTCTCTCAGACCTTCCATAATCCGATGGAGTGAGAAGGTTGCAAAGGTTATCTCCTGCTGGTATGCACTCAATTAAGCTTTAATTTGAAGTTTGATTCATTTTCATTCATCGTTTGACGGTATTTTAGTTTAACTGCGAAAAAAGACAATTTTTCCTCTTATAAAATTCTGCTGTATGCCTTTATTCGTGTTTTGCTTACAACATGGGATTAAATGGGTATTAGAGCTAAGCAATTTTCATAATTTCTCCCTGCATTCAAATTTCTTTCCCTTTTCTTTTTCTTGCCATGTTTTTTTGTTCGTCTTTAATTTGTTTTTGAGTCATCGAGTGAAATCCTAGGTGATACAGCCATTCAGACATTCTGTTCTCTTTCTTTTATTTTTATTCTTTTGGCCTNAAATCTATAAGTTAAAATTGATACTGAAGAATTGATTTGCTGGTAATACAGATTGTTTTCCTACCAAGCAGTTATTTATCTTTTTTCGATTTTAATTGGTATTTCATTTAATAATTTCGGTTTCTTTTTTTCTTTGTGTAATTTGAATCAGTTAATAGAGGAAACATAAAGGATGGGAGATTCTATGGCACTCCAATTTCGGTAGATTCCTAGTTTTTGAGGAAAATTGATGATTGCCTTTTAAATTTACTTGAAATAACTTCTAAATGCACAAGTTTCATGAGGCACATTGGTCATTGGGGTAATTATGAAGCTTTTTTGTTATGAAAAATCATCGAACCTTTCTCTATTTCTTACCCATTTAAAGATATGCTTTTAAGACATGATCAACTTAAAATTTAGAAGAAAATATATGCTTGTTTTGCAATTAGCGTTTTGGAGTCAAATAAAGATGTGAGAGCGAATTAGATGTTTGATCCGTAAGAACCTCTAAATTTTATTGTTAGGGGGTTCAAAATCATATTGTTTGACAAGTTGTTTCTACCCATCAAACTGTTAATTACCAAACACTTATGCATAATCACCTTACCCAATCCGCTAGCCAAAGCTGTTAGTTCAATCTGGCATCCGGTTTGGTATCCACTAAAATGTCGAACAAGACCTATACATTTTGTGTGCGGTAGCATGTTTGAAGCTTCGAATCACCACAATTCAATCAAATTATTTCTCTTATTAGTCATAACAAGCATATTTATATTACATTGCTAAGTTGTTTAGAAGCTATTTTCATACTATGATGTGTTGAACAGGGTGAGAATTTTGCATAGTTTTTTCAAAAGCATATCAGTATACTTGCCTTTGAGAAGGAATAGGGTTTTGAAGGATCAAGAGTTTCTTGCTTGCTTTGTATTTCAGAATATTGGTTGTAAAATTAATATCACTATTATATATTTCATGTTATAATTTTTTTTTTGTCATAATCTTTCCAGAAATAAGAATATGGTTGAGCCTGGTAATGGTTGGGATGCCATTCCCAATGGCGTCCCGGAAAACGAAGAGTTTGATAGCATACTCAATATTTTGGATTTTCCTTTGGAGAGCTTGGAAGATGATGGGTTTGTGGCTGATTGGGATATCAGCAAGTCTCAATGTCTTGGGCCCATACCGTCTAACGAGCTAATTGGGCCCCCAACCGCTTCCAACACCAAGGTTGATTCTAGGTTTTCTCCCCATTTGTCGACTGGACTCAGTGCTCCTGTGAGTACTCTATATCTAATTCATTGGTTAAAAACTTTGGTTTTGGAAACTAGAAATTATGCTAGGGGCTTGATTGCTTGATTATGTTTATCTTAGGCATGTTTGGTTTTGTTTCAGGCATTAGATATTAATAGAGGTTTACACGTACTCATCTTAAACATGCAAAAGTAGGACTGCTTGAGTTTCGACTTTTCAAGTTATTTTGGGGTTTTGAGATAGAACTGGATGGTGGAAATGTGTGTATAGTGTTTTACTACAATAGTCTTGAAATATTTTCTTTTAAAAAGAATATCACTGGAAAGCTTCTTTATGTATGGTTATTTCCTACATGTCATGAAGTCTCTTATTGGCCCTACACCTTTCGAATCTTATCGAACTATTTATCTGATTTTGATTTTTTTTTTTTTGTACATTTATTCGTCCATTTATCATCGTCTCTGTGTTTTGAACTAAAAAACTTCTAGCAGAAGTTAATTTTTCAGCCACATTTCATATTTCAAACTTATTGAACTGCATTTGTGCATCCAAGGATCACATTGATTACATAAAGAAACAAAGATACACGCGCAATCTGCATGAGCTCTCTCTCCCTCTCTCTCTCTTTTTTTTGGTCATTGAAGTTGTTATTGCATTAAAACAACTACTCCAATTCACATTCAATTCTAGACTTAAGTTGTGACTATTACTGCATCATATTATACTTTTACTTTCCCCTCTGCTAATTTATCGGCGATCATTTTTTCCCTCTAATAATCTATTTCGTTCTTCATCCAAACAAACCGTAAAAGATTAGTGGAGCCCAAGAGCAAAAGCAACAGCCGAACCTCGTCTCGACCCAAGAATCCACCTCTTTCCAGAGCCAAAGCCCGGTATCAGTCCTCGAGAGCAGTGGGTCCTCCTCAGCTTCCAGCAAGAACCCAATCCCTGTGCGTGCCCGATCCAAAAGGCCCAAACAGAACCGTAGAAATCCCTGGCTCTCAGCATCATCTCATTTCACCTCCACATCCAAACGGGCCTCAAAAGACAAGTTGAGTAAAAAGAAGTCAGAAGATGAGGCTGAGAAATCGGTGCCGCGGGCCCCACCAAGTTGCCCCAAGAAGTGCACACACTGTGAGATTACCAAGACCCCACAGTGGAGAGAGGGCCCATTGGGCCCAAAGACGCTGTGCAATGCTTGCGGTGTCCGGTACCGTTCGGGCCGACTGTTCCCAGAGTACCGGCCCGCGGCAAGCCCAACTTTTGTCCCCACCTTGCACTCAAACTCACACAAGAAAGTGATAGAGATGAGGAACAAAGGGAAGAAGCCAAAGGTGAATGGCGAGGACGAGGAGGAGACGATGGTTTCGTCACCCCAGCCTGAGTTTGTGCCGATGAGTAACTATTTGTTTGATTATATTTACTGAAAAATGAGGGTCGTGAGTACTTAGTTGACCGATTTAGTTTGAATTTTGTTGTCAACCGTGCCATCTTTTTTTCTTTTTAGTGACTCTTAGTTAAGAGTGGTGTACAAAATGTGGGTACTGAGTGGTACCAAGTCTTAAGGTTAGAGTTAAGGTTATGAAAGTGGAGCTACTAGACAAGAAATGTGCCCTGGATTATTGACATATTCTTTTTTTCTTTTTTTCTTTTTTTGGGTTGCTTTTGGATTTAGTGTGTGCCCGGATGTTATCTTGATGGTAAGAAATTAAAGTCTTCTTGGTTTGGTGCTTGGCTTGGTTCAATCCCAAGATTCGGCCATTTGTAGATATGTTACAGTTTTGGCTGTGGAAATAGCTTTAATTATGTAATATGTGTATATAATCGTATATATACTGTAGATGTTCGAATCTTGTCCGAAAACGGAAAAAATCGATCCTAACCCCTTTGGGCAATGCACCATACATATACAATCTGGATGAATCTTTTGCTTTACTTTGTCCTTGACAACTATATATATGCTTTTGTGGGTTTTATAATTTTTACTGTGATGCTGAAAAATTATTGAGATTTTTTTTTTTTCATTACTATAGAATGGTGTATTATAAGTTATAACCCAATAAGTAGTAAGAGTTTGTACAAAACTGAGTCCACGACCATATACGGCTTTTAAGGGCCAAGTAAAACAAAGTTTCACAACAAAGGAGGGAAATCACAATGCCAATTATGGTTTACAAAAGCATATGCCGCCTACAACTAATAAATACAGTACTATTCACAATTGCATTCAGAAAGAGCATTTACAAAATTATTAAACAGACAAAAGAGTGGATGTTCTCAATGTCTATACACTAATATGGAAAAAGTTCCCAACACTTGCAAACCCAAGAGTCATTTTCTTTCACCCTAGAAAAGCCCTCTAGAAGAAAAATGCTTTGCCCCACATAACCTCTCATCAGTAGGCTAGGATGGGATAATATTATCCACAATTTTTTAACCAATTAAAGGACCCATATGGCATATCCCTTTAATCCATCTTTGCCTCATAAGAGCATCCTAATCCTACTGTGAGTTTATTAAAAAGTGAGATACACGTAGGATGGATAGAGATTGTAACCAAAACTACTTCTACAATGCAGTCATCTATTTTGACTGTGAATCTGATATCTCACAACTTCAGAATACCCCTCAATTTGTAAAGGGTTTGCTTGACACTGTGAGATAAGCCCACTCAGCAACTCACCACATTTTGAAACATTTTTTTTTTTTTTTCAAATGGCTTTTATATTTATAGTAAATACATTTTTATATGAAATGAACGTTTCGACTTAAACTACAAGCTCATTATTTAACATTTAACATCGGTCCCCCTGAGTGAAATTCCTAGATCCGTCACTGAATGTAATATACAAGTTTTATTCACAGAAAACGATACTCTATACTCCATAATTATCTGGTTCAACTTTAGGAAAAAATAAAATAGTATCAACAAAATATACCCACTAATAGCTATGTACTATTAATGGTTAGGCCACAAACTTCAATTATTGAGAAGCGAGTGTGAGTATTCCATAATTCCATGTATGAAAACATATTTAGGTCATAGAGTTGGACATTCCTGCACTTTCCAGCGTGCATAAGTTCAAATATTCTTGTATTCATGTTGCATTATTTGACACATTAAGGCACTGTTAAAGATTTTGACAAACTGTACTGTTAATATTTTGCGACATAGGAAAAAGAACAAATTTTTGAAGGACCACTTTAACATAAAGACATGTCCTGTTGCTGGCATTTGGGCCCATTCTATTTGGTTATGGCTGGCCATAGACCTGAATTTATTTGAGTGTGTATCTATAGCTGTATGTATATCTACTATGAGTAGTGTATAGATGCACAGCCATGCACATTAAAGAACATTTAGGTCTGCCTACAAAAAGGCCAATTTGCCATATTTTCAGTTCTGGTGCTTTTTTTTTTTTTTAAATACTATTTTCACATAAATAAATGCACTTAAGTATATATCAATGTGTGCAAAGCAAGACATAGAATCTTTGAAATAAAGGATTGAATATATAGAAATTAATCACCAACTGCTAATTAAGATGCTGGGTCACATCAATTCTCGGGGGATCTCATTCTGTGATTTGACGAATATATATTTGAGATTGAATAATCTTTTTCCCTTATTTCTAAATGATATATCAAATATCAAATATAATTCATAAAGGATAAGAGAAAAATGTTGCTCGAATGTTGATATTAGGTAATTAACCTAAAATATTGTGTTAATGTGGAATTATTTTTAATAATAATATAATGTGTAAAAATAATATGTTTACATTTTATCTTAATGTGCATATCATATATTATATTCATTTTGCATCACTTAATTAAGATAAAATATAAACTAAACTACACTTTACAATTTGAAAGTTTTAAAAGAACTGTGTATTGTAGTGTATTGTAGTATTTTGAAAATCTTGTAACATAATCAATACCTACTTTTTGGCCCATAAAATTTTTGTTACAACAAATTCAACATGAAATGGGACATATATACAATTGATAGTCCTTGTGCCTCATGAAGTATATATATATATGTAGACGCAGTTTTAGGGGGTGTATTCCTTTAAGAATTCTAAAGACTTTTTAGGAATTATGAAATCTGGGTGTATTTAAAGCAGACTTTTTAGGATTTTAAAAAATCTTGAGGTATTCAATTAAGATTTTCAATGACTTTTTAAAAGTCTCTTAAAATCCATAGGTATTCAATATGGACTTTTTAAAGTCCCATAAAATCAAGAGATATTCATTTCCTTTTCAATTCTATTGGATTTGTCATTTATTTGGATTTAGAGAGATTTGAGTGAGAAAGTATATATACCAAATCCCACTACAAATCCCACCAGTTTATGAGAGATTTTGAGATTTTACAAGAAAAGGGTTTACGAGGAGACGACTTCTCTTACGAAGAGGACGACTCATACTGTGCTCCTCAAAGGTACCAACATCTATTCTTGTGATTAGCATATAAGTTTACAATTGTATTTTTGTATAACAATTTTGATTCTGTTTCCCGTATATGTATGAAATTATTTCATGGTGTATAACAATTCTTGTGATTATATATATGTTTAATGGTGTTTCTGTTTGAATTATGTTCCTTTACCATGGTGATTTTTCCTTTTCCCAAGTTGGTTAGGATTGGAAGAAAGTGCACTGTTTATTCTTGATTGGATAATTTTATTGTCTATGCAATTGTCCTATTTTTATTTTTGTTCTGCGTTTGAAAAAGCAGAAAGGATGGCAAATTGTAGTTTAAGAAAAGAAAAAGTAATAAATAAAACAGAAAAAAATCTTTATTTATAGCTCAAGATTGGGATAATTTTATTTGTTGTGCAATTGATGTGAAAGTTTCTGTTTTGGGTTTGATTTTGAACAGAAAGGTATGGCAAATTGTGGTTGGAAAAAAAAAGAAATAGGATAGAAAACACATAGTAATAAGTGTACTTGATGTTGATCATAATCAATTGTTTTATGCCTCTTTTGTACTATTCTATGATACGATGTTTAGTAAGGTTTATTGCATTGAGTTTAGTTGAATTTAGCATGTGCTAGCTGAATTACTTCTTAAAATTGATAATTTTTATGTTTTGTATTAAATTTGCTTGTACTGCTTAAAACCAATCTATTGTGCTTTTACCACAGAAATCATAATTTGTTTGGTTTGAAATCCTGATGGTAAAAGTGGTCACTTCTTATTTTTTTTTATAAAAGTAGTAACAGAATTCACATTCTTTTATTTGTAAAAGTGGTCACTTTTTTCTTATATGAATACTCTTGAAATTTTTAAAAGTAGTTTGTAAAAGTAATCTTATGTGGTGTATAAAATAATAGTCTCATTCTATTGTTGGGGATTAAGTCCTTAAGGCCAAAGTTGGTGCTACCACAAGTGTTTTTTATTTTGTTTTTGTTTTTTTTTTTTCTCATTTGTATTTTTATTAAACAATATATAATAGACAATGGGAGATCCAATGAAAGAAAATGTCAAGGTTCAGGATATCAAAGTTGGACTATTGAAGAGAGCATTGAACTTCTTAAACTTATGGTTGATGTTAGTAATCGTGGTTGGCGTGATCACGCTGGGAAAATAAATAAGATAACAGTCGAAAGACATATACTAAAACCTTTGAATGAAAAGTTAGGGATCATTCGGACTTATAATCAATATACAAGTCGAGTGAAATATTTTAGGAAACAATATGCCAAGTACAATGAGCTTATGCGGCATAACTCTGGCTTTGGATGAAATTCTGAAACAAAGTTCTTCACTGCGAATGATGAAATCTGGGAAGATTACTTTAAGGTTAACCCCCCTTTTTTGTTTGTTTTTGTATAAATAATATATAAATCATATCTTAACAATTTAAATAAGAAGTTTGGTACAATTTACAATTATTATTTTTGTTATTTGTTTTACCAGTCTCATCGTAACGATTCAAGCTTACGGACAGACCCTCATCCAGATTATGAAGATCTGAGAATTGCAGTTGGTAATGGTACAGCTAAAGGGACATATTCTATTGCCATAGGAGAAGACACTGTAGAAGAAAATAGAGAAAGTGTGAGCTTGCTAGATGATTTCACATATGATCCCTCAAGTGATGCATTTATTCCATCAAGTACCCAAGATCCTTTTCCACCATCTCTCGAGAACTCTTTCATGCCAACCTCAACTCAACAACAATACTCGAAGCCCCAAGAAAACGAGCTAAAACTGATTCTCAAACCTCATTTAATCCTAAAGATACCCAAGACCTTGTAGAAAAGCTTACATCAAATGTGGAGAAGTTTACTCGTGCTATTGAATCAATTGACACAAAAGAGTACAACTGTTGGGATTTGATTAAGGAGATTCCAGGCTTAACTTCTGAGGATCGTTTCAAAGCTCTTGATTTGCTTAATACCAAAGCAAAAAAGTCAGAGTTTTTTAACATGTCCCCGGATGAACGAGCTGAGTGGATAACATATAAGTTGAAATGATTTATATATAATAAGATTATTATGAACTTCTAGGTCTATGTCCATTGTTTTGAGTAGGCTGGACTTAGTTTTTATTTTCATGGATTTTATGTTATTCGAGTACTATGAAATATATGAATTTTCTGGCTTGTTTGATGTTGGAATTATTTATCTTTAATTTTTGTATTAGTTGAATTTTATTAATTTATGTCGTTTTCATCTCTTATTAATTATCACAAGTCACATAATGTCTGATACTGATATGCGCGAAGATGATCTAATGGACATAGATGAAATTGAAGAAGATGACAGGAGAGAAGAGTTATATAAATACATTCGGTATTCATACTTGCTCATTCAAGCAATTTTTTACATGACAAATGTGCTTATGGTTAATATGTGCCATGATCGTGTCAATTACTCATTAAGCAGAAGGCCGAAAACCGTGGATGGTTATGATTATATACATAAAATACTTGGGGAAGATTCTAACGACTTCCGAGAGGTCTATAGAATGTACCCAGATGTATTCTTGAAATTATGTCGTATCATTAGAGAGAAACAACTCTTGAGCGACACAAGGTTTGTTTTTGTTGAGGAAATGCTTGCGACATTCTTACTTATTGTTGGACAAAATAATCAATACTGTACGACAAGTATTTGGTCGATCACATTTCACCACCAGCCAGAATTTCAACAAGGTGTTGAAAGCACTAACCAAATACGCTGTAGATATGTTGGCTAAGCCAGGATATGCAATTCCCCAGAAAATAAGAGAATATACACGATTTTATCCCTACTTCAAAGTAAGTAATAACATTTTTACTTTAATTTTATAATATCAATATATTGTTTGCTAATGTTGAAAATTTTAAAAATTTTAGGACTACATTGGGGCTATTGATGACACACATATTCCAGCAATGGTAATAGGACATGATACAAGCAGTTATCGGAATCGGCATGGACAAATTTTGCAAAATGTTTTAGCTGCTTGTAACTTTGATCTGGAGTTTATATATGTGCTCAGTGGGTGGGAGGGTTCAGCTCATGATACAAAAATTTTGACGGATGCGTTAACAAGAAGAAACGGACTCAAAATTCCTGATGGTATTAATTCATAATTTTCTCTTTCGTTTCATATTTCTTTAATGCACTGGTATTAAATGTCACAAGCATGAGATAATTATATTTTTATTTGCAGAAAAGTACTTATTGGCCGATTGTGGATATCCAAATAGACGACAGTTTCTTACTCCATATCGAGGGACTCGCTACCATCTTAACTAAGATAACTTACACCCAGTCACTCCCAAAGAAAATAAATTCTTGTCATATGATTTGAGATAACTGCATTGTAGCTTATAAATGTGTTTGGTAAGCACAATAAGTTCACTTATAACTCATTTTGTTATCTTATATAAACTTCTGTATACAAATAAGTTTGTTTGGTATGAAGAACTTTTTTAAAAAGTTTAAACTTATTTAATAAGTTTCTTTGCTTAGTTTTCTAAATAAACTCGTTTAAATATTTATTTCAATTGATTTACCAATTAATTTTACCAAATATTTTATCATGTCAATTAGTTTTTCATCCTTAAGCTATAAGCTCGAAATTCACTTGTAAGCTATTAACTAACTTATCAATTATAAGATAAATTATTAGTTAATTTTACCAAACATAATCTATATTCTTTTTATATTTAAAAAGAAAAATTAATGGTCACATGAGGGCAAAAGAAATAAATTTGTGAATAATTTACTAGTGGAGTTAAATATAGTAATTGATTAATGAGATTGTCCTTTTTGTCTGGTGCTGGGAGATTAGTTCAGATCTGATGAGAGAGAGGAAAGGAAAAGGTAGAAATTATTATAACTACAAAATCAACCATAAATCCATGTCAAACCACAAGCAACAACCACACCTCCTTTCTCTTTCTCCCACCCCAACCTTTGTAGCATCTTTCTACGGCGTCGTCGGACTATGCACGAAGAACACGCATGGCGATTGAATGAGAATCGCGTTTAGAGTAGACTGCTGCTTGAGCGAGAAAATAGGGATAAGAGAAAAGTTCCGTGAACGGTAACTGAACCGCCGATTTGCGAGGCCGTGTGTAAAATCGGATATCTGCACTGTTCTGTTTTAAGAATTTTCTGCTATTTTTTCTTTCCGTTTCTTATCTGATTCGCAATTTTTTCGCAGTTCTCCTCCTGATTCCAGAATCCTCGGTTTTTTTTTTTTTTCCATCTCT